GATAAATATCTTATTAATCTATAGTTATATATATAAAATTAGTATTAAGTAACTTATTAAAAAAAACTAAATAAATAATTTTTAGTAAATATTATTTATAGAATAGTATAAATAATTTTTTTGTAATTTATTTAAAATAATAAAAAAAAATTCAAAATATTTATATTTAAATAATATAAAATTACTATGTAATATCGCTTGTTATTTTTACCAGTATCACATGGTTATATAAATGTGGCTTATATAATAATCAAATTTTTATAAAATAAACTTTTTTAGCTTAACTTTTTTTTCTTTTATGTTTACTTTTTTTATCATATTCTTTTTTTTTTTACAAGACTCCTTTATTTTATATATTCAAATTTTATTACTTTTTTTAGCAACAATAGTTTCAAAATTTTTTTTCATATTTTATATTGTGAAAAAATTTTTTTTTAATAATAAAAGACTATTATAAGAAATTTTAACAGTCTCAAGTATAACTGGAAATCTTCAGAAAATGATAATTTTATAAACATAATAAACAATGAGAATAATATTATTAAAATATCTTATAATTAATACTAGCCATGCCAACCATTAATTAAAATTAAGTATAAATTAGATAAAAAAAATAATTAATTTGGTATTTAGATTAAAATATATATTAATATTTTAATTAATGTATTGCTAGTACATAATATATTATTTATTTATTAAATATAATACAATCATATAACATTACTAAGTATATATATTACATAGCTATACACTGATAAAAATTACTATCAATACTGAATAGCAAACTTGTAAATAATAGTAGATAAATCTACTTATAATAAATTAAATTTTTATAATTTATTTTATATATTAGAATTTTAAACTAAATATTTTTAAAGTTATATAATTAAAGTTAAAAAATATAAATAAATATAATATCTATTTATATATTAAATATATATAACAGATAATATAGCATATATATTTTAATATTAAAATAAAATAGTAATTAATTAATTCTAATCTTTCTTTTTCTTTTTTTAACTATTCTCTTACTAATTGAGTAAGTGATTAATAATAAACTAGATTATTTAACAGTTATTAATTAATAAAATAAATTCATTTGTGAAATATATTTAGCAAATAGTATAATAATAAATTTTAAAAATAAAGTTTTAAAAAATTTAAAGTAAATAATAAATTTTTAAATTAAAAGTATTTTTTTTAATTTAATTTATTTATTTAATAAATATAAAATATGAATTATTATATAGGTAAATATTTAAAATGCATAAAATATTTCATTTGTTAAAATTTTAAAAATTAGATAAATATAATGAAAATAATAAAGATAATCTAATAAAACATCTTATATTTTATATTTATATTTAAATATAATTTTTAAAATTTTAAAAACTTTACAATAAAATTAGCTTTATAAATTATATAAAACAAATACAATTAATTTTAAAAATGTGATTATATAAAAATTTATAAAATAATTTTAAAAATTAAATATAGAAAAAAATACTTTTAATTATATATTGTTAAATAAAAATTAATTTAAAATAGTTACTATATCTAATTTAAAATTATTAATAAAATGTTTAATAAAATATGATGAAAAAATTTATGGATTTTCTTGTTAAATTTAAAGAATATTAATAAAATATAAAACTTTTATCTAAACAAAAAATATATGAAATATTTGATAATTGTAATTAATTTATATAATTTTTTTTATATTATAAATATAAGAAACTATAACTATTTTACAAAATAATAATTTAATAATTTAATTAATAGATTAATAAATAAAATTGATATTACATTTAATTCATTAAAAAAATAGGTAAAAATATAATTATATTTATTATAAGTATAAATAGATTAGAAGGCAAATATAATAATTATTTATATGAATTACTTAAATATTATTATAAAATTATCTTAAAAATAAAAATTTTTATTTATATATAAATTAAATTATTTAGACAAAATTTATAATTTTGTTTATTTATTTAACTCATCAATTTATAGATTTTTATTATTTATTAAATCTCATATTTATTATATTATTATATATCACTAATAAATCAAAAGTAAATATGATTTAAAATATTATTTAAATATAAAAAGTAAAATAAAATAAATTAAACTCTGATTAGCTTTTGAAAATATTAAAGAAATTTCTTTATTAAAATTAAATTTATAGAAAAAAAAGAAAGAATAGTAAATAAAAATAAAAATAATAAAAATATTAATAAAAATTATAGGATTGATAAAGCAAATAAATTATTGAATAAATTATTTTCAAAAAAAAAATTGTAAAAATCAATATATTCTTAAAAAATAAAAAAATTTTTCAATTTTAACAATTAATTTCTAATTTAATTTTTACTTGAAATTGATATTTCATATAATAAAATATAATAAATTTTATAGTTTATTTAAATAATTTTATTAAATAGTTTTTATAATAAGATTTTTAAGTTATAATAATTAAAAATCATTAATTATTAAAAAAAATGATAATTTAAATAATCAAATACATTATTTAAATGATAAATTATCTGTTAAAAATTTCATATTAAATAAGTGATTCTAACTGATTTACTATAATTTTATATATCTTAATATTTTGTATTATATTTAATAAATAAATTATCAAAATAATTATAATTATAAATAAATTCTAATTTATAAAATATTTATAATAGAAAATATATTTGAAACTATAAAATATTAGTTATATTATAAATTTAATTTTATGTAAAAATGTATTTAAATAAAATTAATTATAAAATTAAACTTATTTAAGATTATAAAAGAATTATAGTTTATATAATTATAAATAAATATATATATAAAAAAGTATTTAAACAAAAATTAATTAATAATAAATAGAATTTAATGTAATAAATAGATAATAATTTTTATCAATTTATAAAAGTAAAAAATAAATATTAAATATTAAAAATAAGTTAAATTTTTAAATAATTTAATAAGTTTTATATAAATTATTTATGATAATATTATGAATTTACAAAACTTATATTTAAATTGTACTTTATAAGATATATAAATATAAAGTTATAAAATTATAAATATAAATTTCTATAAGTTTAAATTGATTTATATATAATTTATTTTTACATTAATAAATTAATTACATTAATTATTTTAATTTTATATATCAAAAAATAATTATAATATTATTTAAATATATTAATTTTATTATAAAATTAAATATGTTATTATTAAAGTTGCTTGTCTTAATTTATTTTTAATTTGATAAATAATTAAACCTTAGTTTACAGATTTTTAATTTAATATAATTTTACTCATCTTTAATAAGATTTAATTATTTAGATGACTTTTTAAATACTTATTTATTTATTATAGATAAATAACAAAATTTATAATAAGAATTAAAAGCTAGCTATCTATTATTATAGATTCTACATATTTTCTTTTTCCTTTTGCTTTATCTGTATTTTTATCTTTTATTATTATTTATATATATACAGTATTTGATTCTATTATTTCATTAGTAACTTTTAAACATTCTAACATATTATCACTAAATCAATTCACTAAACTGCTGCGGTAAAAATATGATATTTAAAAATATTTAATACTAAACTAAAGATTTTTTTTATTTTAACAAATATAAAAATCCATTCGTTAAATATTTTAAACATTATTCGACTTTTAAATCAATCAAATTCACCATTTGAACCAATCTCAAATGAGAAAATAGAAAACGGCTACATTCTGCCTGCCAAACTTGGAAAGTTCTCGTCCTTTAGAAATTGAAGTAACACCATTTATATTAATCGAAATCTAATCTTATCTAATATATTATAGAAATATTATAGAATAAATTACTATAAAAAAATTTTAATTTCGTGGGATATATAATTTAATCAGACATGGAAAGTACTTTTGAAAATCAAAATAAAACAAAGAAATGGAATTATTAAAATAGAAAAGACTAGAACAAGAATGGACAATTACAAAAGATCAATATATATATATATAATTATTAATTATTATGCAGTCGTTGTTATCAGTTTTTTTTTTTTTTTGGCGAAATAATCGAAGCTAACCGAAAAAAGTCAAATATTGAATGAACTTGCAAAAAGATAAGGTCACATAAAATCCATCAAATCTCAACAATTTTTTTCAAATGTTGTTTTTTGTGTCTTGTAGGCCGATCCTCTACTGATAGTTTTGGCAGGATTGTACTTGAATATTGATGAGATTATCCTTCTTCTGTAAATTCCTCATGATCTTACGCGAACTTCACAAGATTTGTACTTGACTAAAATTGTAAATTCCTTTTTATTGTTTGTTTGCCCTAATAAGATAAATGCATTGCATTACATAAATTTCAAGGGATTTTCTAAAACGAGAGTTCTCAATGAAGGTGCATGCCGAAATTGGATATACCAGATCCCTATCTATCGAAGTTTGGTTTATCAAAGAAACTTTTTTGCACTCAAAATTTCTTGGTTTTATTTATATTTGTATATATGCACGAAGATTCGTTGGGATCGTGTCTATTTGAACATATGAAAAAAAATAGAACAAAAAAAAGTTCCCTTGAAAAAATTATAAAGTGCATGAGACCTAGTAAATATTTGTTATTTTTCCCACATGACCTTATTTATCAGCTAAAATTACGTATTTGAAGTGTACAAAATTAAGATCGGTTGTGGAAGCAATGACACGAGATAAGAGATAAGATTCTATCAGCCTGGATCAGTTGTACGAAATATAAAGGTATCTTATCTGTATAAATTTTTTCTGAAAAGTTCGGAGATGACCGTTAAACTTTTTCATATATAAAAAACAAAGTATGGTTGCAATTTTTAGCTTGCTTTTTCTATAAAAAGGAATTTTTTAGCGAACCTCGATTTCAAATACCATTTCCTCCCTTTTTGATAAAATTTTCATTGATTTCACTCTTGAAATTTGTCTTGTATCTAATATAACCAAAATTTAAAAGATTCACAATGTGTGGTATTTTTGCGGTTTTCAATTATCCAGATGATGTTCATGCTTTCCGTCGACGAGCTTTATTACTTTCTAAAAGGTGAATTTTTATTCTTTTAAAAGAATTATCAACTTGAAGTCGATTTAAAATTGACATCCTTTCTTATCACAAAATTTAGATTGAGACACAGAGGTCCTGATTGGAGTGGGTGTAAAATTTCGGGAAATAACATTCTATGTCACGAACGTTTAGCTATTGTTGGTGTTGGTAAGTAAAATAATCCATTCTAATATATAAATATTATAATTTACATATTATTAATTTTTTTCTTTTGAATTTTTTTTTTTTTTAAAGATTCTGGTGCTCAACCTCTTACCAATGAAGATGAAACAATCATTCTTGCTGTAAATGGTGAAATCTATAATCACAAAACCTTAAGGAAACAACTTAGACCTGACACGCATTTCAAAACTCAATCAGATTGTGAAATCATCCTTCATTTGGTATGCTATTCTTTTGCTATGTATATAATTTACAATTCGCGTCTAACGCAAGCTTTCCTTTTTTTTTTAAAAAAAAAAAATAGTATTCTGAAATAGGAAAAGATGTTGTAAATCATCTCGATGGTATGTTTTCGTTTGTCCTCTTGGACACGAATAGAAATCGTTTCATTGCTGCACGTGACCCAATTGGTATTACTTCCCTTTACCAAGGTTGGTCATCATCGTCACCGGATACAGTCTATTTTTCCTCGGAATTAAAGGCACTTAATGAAGAATGTGATAAAATCATCTTGTTTCCACCTGGTCATATTTATGACAGCTTAACTGGCGAGACAACAAGATATTATAAACCATCATGGTGGGATGGAGAAGTAATACCAAAAAACCCTATTAATTATACTTACTTAAGAGAATCTTTGGAAAATGCTGTTCGCAAAAGATTAATGAGTGATGTACCATATGGTGTTTTATTAAGTGGAGGATTGGATTCCAGTTTAATAGCTTCTATTGCAACAAGGGAAGCTGCAAAATTAGCTGCTACCCAAAATGGATTTGAAGATGATCGTAAGTGTTACAGGTATTTGCTGGGAAACCGTGCCAGGAACATTACAATCATGTGATATATTATACCTGAGTAATTTGTTATGTGTATTACATACAATACTTGATAAAAATTCCTTGCAAGGATTCTTTTGCAAAATGTCCTATTATTTTCTTTTTTTTTCTTTCAAACATTTAACTCAAATTTCTAACTAAGTGGTAATATTGTTTTATAGGAGGAGTTACCACTTGGCAAAAGCTTCATTCTTTTTCTATTGGTCTTCCAGGGTCGCCTGACTTAATAGCTGCACGTTCTGTAGCAGAATTTTTAGATACTATACATCATGAATTTACCTTTACGCTTCAAGAAGGTCTCGATGCAGTTCATGATGTTATTCATCATTTGGAAACATATGATGTAACAACAATTAGGGCAAGTACCCCAATGTACTTACTATCGAGAAAGATTAAGGCCATGGGAGTTAAGATGGTTTTAAGTGGTGAAGGAAGTGATGAAATTCTAGGAGGTATTTATAGAATTGATAAATTAAATCTTTGATTATATCACATTTATTAATTATTTTATAATCTTTTTAGGTTATTTATACTTTCATGCTGCGCCATCTGCTGCAGATTTCCACAAAGAAACAGTTTCTCGTGTTAAAAAGCTTCATACTGCTGATTGTTTGCGTGCTAACAAGTCCACAATGGCTTGGGGTCTAGAAGCTCGTGTACCATTCTTAGATAAAACATTCCTTGATGTGGCTATGTCCATTGATCCTGAAGAAAAATTATTTAAAGAAGGGAGAATGGAGAAGGTAAATTTAATTCACATTTATGCATACACTTCATTACGTATATATAATCGAATATGTTTTTTTCCTTTTTATGTAGTACATTCTCAGGAAAGCTTTTGATGTGTCAACAACTGGAGATGTGCGTCCTTATCTTCCAGAGTCAGTTCTTTGGCGTCAAAAAGAACAATTCTCTGATGGTGTAGGATATAGTTGGATTGACACTCTCAAAGAGACTGCTGAACAGCACGTCACTGATGAACAATTGGCTAACGCTGCTAACGTTTGGGCAAAAGATACGCCAACTTCCAAAGAAGCATATTGGTATAGAGAACAATTCGAAAGTTGGTTCCCTGAAGAAGCATGTACTGATAGTGTTGAAAGATGGATTCCAAGAGCAGATTGGGGTAATTTTTCCTAATGGAATCAATGTATATTTTTCGTCATTACATTGTACAATACTTACTTTCTCTTTTAAAATCATTTTCAATCAGGTTGCCCCGAAGATCCTTCAGGACGTGCTCAAGCTGTACATAATGCCGCAATTTAATAAATTAAATTATTTAGATTTCCCTTCATTTTTTTTTAAAAACAAAAAAAAAAAAAAAATTTAATAACTTCAACTTTTTAAATAAATAAAAAAAAATATGATTGTTTATTGTTTTATTGTAAATAATTTAAGTATTGAGTAATTTGAATAATTTTCATTTTCTAATTTTTGAAATTTAAAAAATGTAATTATTATAAATATAATTGACAAAAGTTATATAAATATTATTACAATTGCTATTGCAACATCCAAAATGTTTAAATAAATCCCAATTTATAATATAAAAACATTCTAATATTTGATAAATAAATATAAATAAATTTTCCGAATAATTCACAAACCTGTCCAGGTAATTTGCAATTACCACTGTTAAAAGCACAATATTAATGGATTGCTTTATTTAACTAATTAATTTATCACAATACATAATTACATTACCTGTCTTCCAGGGTGCTGTTGATTAATATTGAAATTTTGATTGGGTACAAATCCTTGATTCGTTCCGGGATTAATATTTACTCCCTGATTCGGATTGAATACTTGCGGATTTAATCCCATTTGATTTGGTTGTCCACCAAAACCAGAATTCTGTCCGCTCATCCCAAAATTAGAAGTTTGTTGAGGGAACCCAAGATTATTTTGACTCCAGTTTGTCTGATTGGAATTAATAAATCCGCCTTGTTTTTGACCAAAACCCAATCCATCTAAAAATATTTGACTTCATGAGTAAATTACTGGAATTAAACACGAAATGATGAAATTTTTTTTTTTAATTACTTGATGAATTCGAATTGCTGAAGACACTCGGAGCGTTAGGATCCACCTGTTTCAAAGCAGAATATTTATCTTGCGAAACTATAAATAGAAAAATATTCAATTATGTTATTAACGTGTAATACTTGTTATTCTTCAATGATAATAATATATAGATACCATTAGCATTAAAGTTACTTGATGGTGCAATTGGTCCAAATTGACCATTTTTCATTGAAGCAAATACATTCTGAGGATCGAATTTTGATTGCTGAGATTGAAGTTGCTGTATTTGATTTGATGATTGCTGAGAATGAAGTTGCTGAAATTGATTTGATGATTGTTGAGATTGAAGTTGCTGAAATTGATTTGATGATTGTTGATTAAATGAAGGATTAATTAAATTATTGTTGCTATTAAATGATTGCGGCCGTAATTGATTTGATGTGGAATGAATTTGATTAACATTTGATAAATTGTATCCTGAAGTAGAATTTGTTAACGAAGATGTCGTTAGACCTGGAATTTTTATTATTTTATTAGTTTTAAGTAAAACACAATAATTACAAATAAAACGATAAAATAATAAATTTAACTTACTCGCAGAACTCCAAGTATTTATAGAGGAATTAAAATTACTGACAACAGGTCCGGATAAATTTCCTGTTCCCATCCCTTGAAAACTACCCGTGGAATTTGATCTTTGAATATTCATCATATTATTTCCTTGAATATTATTATTTGTATTCAAACTAGCTGGTTTTGCAGGAATTAAAGGTTGATGAAGCAAACTATTCAAAGGAACAATGGATTGAGATGGTGGTGGTGGGGGAACTGGTGGAGGAGTAGGAGCGTGAACCTGAGTTGGTTGTGATGGTTGGATGTTCATATTATTTGAATGCCAGCTAAGTTGTCCCATTGTATTTGAGCTGGGTATTGTAGATGGAAGGTGTAATGATATTTGATTTTGATTTAGGGGGGGAGTTGAACTATTTAAAGAAAGGTTAGTGGAAGATAAATTGGAAGAACGAAAAGGGATAGAGGGTGGAGCTTGAGGAATTGAAGGAGGTGGTGGTGGTGGTGGTGGCGTGGGAGGCGCTGACGTTTTTACTGTAGGTACTAAAGGTGGCGTTAAATCTTTAGAAACCCATGCATCATCATCAAATTTGCTTTCTGTTGATGTCGTTGATGATGACTTAAAAGCATCATCAAATGATCCTTTAGAATTAGCAAGAGTTGTAGCATCAATCTGAATTGATGCTGCCTTTGTAGGTTGGGGGCGAGCCTTCTTTGTATTATTTTTTAACACGCCATTATTGGCAGCAAAAAGTTGTGGTGTTGTTGTTAGTGTCTTTTTCTCTTCTTTCTGTATAATCGAATCTAAATTACTATATAGATCAGCAGCCTTCGGAATTTGACGACCTTCACTTCGAGCTATTCTGTTCTCCTCTTCTTGAAGTTCCCTAGCCAATTGTTCATCACGCTTCAATTGTATTTTCATATCAAATTCCGAAAGCTGTTGCGCTTTTTGAATACTCTCAGGCTACATAAAATCAAAATAATTAAAACTAATAAATATAATATATTATATATATAAAAAGCATTTAAAACAAAAAAGGAATATCTTGAACCTGTGATTTTCTTGCACTCTGTTTGCTCTTCGATTGTATATCTATATCATCAGGAATGACACTAGTTGAACCAAAACTAACGTTTCTCTTTTTCCCAAAATTATACCTTTGATCTATGTATTTCTTAATCCTGATAATATCCCCCTCCTTGATATCAAGTCCCTTCATGACATCACGATTGAGATCAGGAATCGAACTCTCATCCATCTTCTCTGCGAGAAACTTTTTAGCATACTCGAATGCATCCTCATGTGAGACATCAGCATGAAGGAAGAAATCATACCAATCATAATCAATCGCGTAATTATTTGATAATCTCGCCTTGCCTTTATACGCAGCGGCAATAGCAGCTAGTGGGGTATCATCATTCTTATCATAAACTTTCTCTCCTGTTACTTCCTCAAGGTAAGCAAGATCTTCTTTGCTCATCTTATCGACAGGAACAGCAATCTTAACACCATTAAGTTTGTGAAGGTGTACTTTGCCATCGATTAATTCTAAGAATTGTGCTTCAACTTTAAAAGAACCTGTTCGATCAGTCCAAGTCCTTGTATTTGACGGAATTGGTTCTTTAAAACAAAAGAATAATCAATACTATTGAAATCCTGAATACATTATTTATACATCTAACATAAAAACATACTGGATTTAGATTGAGCTTGCGCTGGTCGTTCAGGCAATGCGCGGTTTGCAGGCGTTTGAATTTTTTTCACAGCTGCTTCTTCTGAATGTCATAAGAAAAAAAATTTTTTTAATAAATGTCGTTATAAATTACGGGTACTTTCAACAATAATGACACCAAGACGAAAGGAGGTTCATAAATAGGATCAATTGTGCCGATAAGGTTTTGCGCATTATAATGCAACCTTACCGGCGCAAAACTCCTAATTGAATGGGCTGGTTTCTTAACAATAATTAATTCTATGACAAAATGTCAGACGCTGCAAGAGACCAAATAATATACCTAAAGAGGGATTCGCCCGAATTGGTCGATCTGTAAAAATCTAATTAATGCAATGTAAAGTAATGTAATAATATACATTTTTTATCAAATATGAATCATACTTGGTAAAATTGGAGGAGGGGGTGCTAGCTGTGATTGAGCTTCTTTTCGTTTCTTCTCCTCTAGAACACGTTTTTCTGCTTCACGTCGTTTACGTTCTTCGTCGTCACGTTGACGACGCCTTCTTTCTTCTTCACGTTTAATACGTTCCTCTTCTTCGAATTGTTGACGTTCTGCTTCAGCGGCTGCTTCAGCGGCTGCAACTTGTGCAGCCATCTCAGCCTCATTGTCCTCTTCACTACGTAACTGATTATATAAAAAATAACAATAAATAAATAAATTGTTATAATAAATTAAATTAGCTTAATAATAACACTCGCCTCAATAAAAGAAGCGGGTACAACTCCTTCTTCATCTCCTTTTTTAATCTTCCACCATTCTTCACTGCTAACATCATCAATAACCCATAATTCATCGCCTTCACGAATTGAAACTTCATCGTCTCCTTGAGCATCAAAATCATATAGTGCTACACCAAATTTAGGTGACAAAAATTCATTTTCTTCTACATCATTCTCTTCTACAGTAATCTCAGGAACGTTATTATATGAATTTGATATATCTTGTTCATCATTCTCATATCCTTGAGGCTCTTCATACACTATCGATTTATGAGTTGATGAAGGACGTGAAGAAGAAGGTGATGTAGGGCTAACTATACTTGATCTGATTGATGCATTATCCACCTTCACTGTAGGAATTTCTATACTAGCACGACAATCTTCCGCTTTTTGAAAAATTTCCATAATAATATTTTTATTGGCATGAAAATCAATTGTTCCTCCCTTAGAACCTCCAAATATGAATGAAATATTTTTTTTATCTTTATTAATATCTGTAATATCATTAATTTCCCACTGACGAACAGGCGCCTAAATATATAATTTGTAGAATGAATTTATGACTTATCGAAATGAAAATTAAAATAATCAATCATTACCTTATCAGACTCACTGGCAAAAATGACTTTACCATTACCAATCGCCAAAGTACCTTTCTTCTTTTGTTTTTTCTTATCACCAACAAGTTCCTAAGAAATTTTATTTTTTAAAATACAAATGCTTTTTATTGAAAATGTGACAATTTGGATTTATATTGCTAAAGTCAATTAAATTTACCGTGACAGACCAAGTTTTGCTTTCATTTACTGATGATCCAGCTTTTGGACGAGCGGCTTTTACAGCATATAATTTTAATGGATCAACATATGTATTATTCGCGCTCTACAATTACAGATGAAAAAAAGAACTATATAAATATCAATGATAATTAAATTAGAACTCCGGAACAATGTTATTTATACTTACTGACAAAGCGTCAAATAATGATACTGGTTTTGCTTTATTTGTCTGATTTTCTTTATCTTCTTCTTCTTCATAATTTTCTTCTTGTGCATACTGTTCAATAGAGTCCACAGATACCTATATTTAATAAAACCCTTGTCAAAATCCGAAAGGAATGAAATATATTTTCTTTTTTTAAAAAAAAATTGAATTGACTTACCTTTTCAACATAATTTGGAGGAATCATACCGAATACATCGTTAAATTTGA